GCTCAAAAAATTTCATCAAAAAATTCCACCGGGAAGGTGCCCAAACGGGCTCGGCCGGACGGGGCAGCCCGTCAGGCCGGCCTGACATGAAGTTTCCTCTATATATATATATATATATATATATATATATATATATATATATATATATTCTAGTAGTTATTTTGGAAAATATTAAATCTATAGCAACACTACAATTTGGAGTAGTAGTTATTCCATCATAAATAGTATTCCGCACGTAATAATATATTATAGTTTAGTATTGGAATGAGAACTAAACAAATTTTAATCAAAAGAAACAAAACAAATGAGACTAAGAGAGACATGAAATAAGATAAAATTACACTAGGGAGACTAAGGACTAGAAAATTTTAATTGGGTTTGACTATTACATAACATTAGAAATTTAAAACAACATATTAATTTCAAACGGGACACCGGGACGGGACATGATATTTTATAGCTATCCCGGTTCCGTCCCGGTTAATATCGGTGCGGGACCAGTTCGGGATGAAAAAATTGTGTCCTAAATGGATCGGGATAGTTTCGGAACGGTATCAGGATTTTTCGGTTTGGGACACCGGGACCGGGATTTTTGCCCACCCCTAGTCATGCTTCCTTACCAAATTCCATGGAAAATCAGTGTCCAACTATCCATAAAATTTTTTCCATTTCTTTAATGTAAAAAATATACTCCCTCCCTCCCTTAAATGTTTGCCAAGCTTGATCGGCACGGAAAATAATAAAGTAAAAATTGTGTGGTAGATATTTGTGTAGAGAAGAGAGAAATAATAGGAGCCACAAATTGATTGATTAAAAGGAAAAGTGACAAAGTTTTTGGGACAACCAAAAAACGAAAGTTGGCAAAGTTATAAGGGACGATGTGAGTATACATTTATGAGTGTTTTTTCAATTTTGAATAAGCTAAATCACATAAGTCCCATCAAATATAATATGAAACTAATTTTATAGGCATATGCCGGTGAACAAATATGTATAACTAATTAATCGACCTGTGCTTTCCATAGCTGGGTTATTTTAAAATATAATTCATTAACTACATTTTGATTTTTAGCACACATACTCTGTTAGAGAGCAGGAGTCTGCTTCTATCATACTCCCTCTATAACATTCATATCTTCCCATTTTTCTTTTTTTGGACATAACATTTATATCTTCCAATTTCTAAATCTTCTCATCATACCCTTAATAATTTAAAAAATAATACGCTATTACACCTACTTTTTTGGATTTATCCTTCATTGGATCACATTATTTCATTATTTTCTCATCAGACCCTCAATAATTTATATCCTCTTTCACTATTCTTAATCCCACTCACTTTGAAATTGGGAAGATGTATGTGATACGGAGGGAGTAATAAAATTGAAGTATAGAAAATCAATCTAAATGAAATACTTCATAATCAACACGTAAGTTAAGGTAAGGATATGTGTAGTATATGTAGGATATGTGGAATATTTATTTGTTCTCCTTTTTTCTACTACCTAACATCTTAGAGTCTTAATTAGTGTTCTGTTCTATAAAACTCAAGCATAGAGTATACATATTGTGGACATATAAAAATTATTGGACTAGTTGAGATGATTAGTGGGCCTCTTTTGAATGATATCTAGCCCGCGTCGATTTTAGTGAGCTGCTCGTGATGGTTGGTGGGCCTTATCAAGAAGAAAATAGTGATATGGATTTCTTGAGATAAAATTTATTAATTTAATTAATTTGGATCATTCGAATTATCCAATTAATTTAATTATAAATTAAATCTTTAAAAGAATGGATCGGTCCTATTAATCTTGAGTCCATTATCAAATAACGGCCCAATATATAAGAGACATGATCCAATTGATAAAGAGGTCAACGAATCTGGCCAAGAAATCCTTCCATATGCATGGAAAATAGCTATGAACCTTGTTAAAAAAGTTGTCCAAATACATCGGACAAATCCTGATTTTTCTAGCTATTAAAATGCAAGCAAATAGAGCCCGAAGCCCATTTTAATTGAGGCCCAAGGTATATGGACGAATTTCTGCAACCCTAGGCCACATTTTCACCCCCTCCACACCTATAAATAAGGGTCTCAGATGAGAGGAATGGAGGAGAACTTCCAGACAAAGAAACGCTGCAGCAAAGCTCTGAAGAACTCCCGAGAGGCTCTGAACAATTCCGAAGAAGAGGAAGAGATCAAGCCACGATTTTTCTCAAGAATATATGAATAATCCTTTGTGATTTCATCTATTCTTGATAAAATAAGTCCAAAAGTTGAAGAACGTTCGAAGATCTGAAGAACGAAGCTTGAAGATTTGAAGATCTGAAGAACGAAGCTTTGAAGATTCGAAGATATGAAGAACGAATCTTTGAAGATTTGAAGATATTCATATGAAGATTGAATCAAAATTCAATTGAAGATCAAGCCATATATCCCGGGAGGCCCTTAAACAGAAGATTAAGCCATAAAACGGCCCTTTTGTTGAAGATCAAGCCACTTGAAAACCGGAGGCCCTTCAATCTGAATTCTTTATTCAAGAAGATTTGAAGATCCGAAGAACGAAGGTTCGAAGATTCGAAGATCTCAAGAACGAAGATTCTAAGATCCGAAGAACGTTCAAATATTTGAAGAATTAGAGATTTAATTTTTAATTAAATTCTTTAATTATATTACTTCAAATTGCAAGTGAAGAATCAGAGGATTCATATTTAGAGATTGTACCCGATATTCTCATATATTATTATTTGCGATCAATTTTAAGTAAATACTTAAAATTTGTTTCACACATATATAATACACTCGCTGTTGTAGTGTACAACACTTAAAATGATATATAGATATATATTTTATTTAAATTTATGTATTTGTGTGTATGAGGATACAAATATATTGCAAATATATTGAGAGTGATACAAATATATTGCAAATTATACATTCTGAATTTTCAAAAAATGCATAAAAATTGATTAAGTTTTAATAGTTGTGTATCACATATGGTTGAACCATTGAACAAATTAACCATCGGATTTCATTGAGAATTAATAAAAATGTTAGAATTTGTAGCAGCTGAAATAGCTAGGAGATACTTGACTGGTGTTAAAATCTACGAATGCTCTTATATTGTTTTTTATCCACTAACCGGCGTAACTGCTGATCCCGAACATCTAATTTATCAAACATCGTTTCACAACCCGTCAAATTAGTTTGCTAATCAAGTCCGCCAATTAAATTTTATATCAACTATCCGCTACCCAATTCGTCAAGAACTAAATTCCGATTATCAAACATGTCCAAAAAGTGAGTCATCCTTAAATATTGCATATGTGAGATTAAATATACATGTAAATAACATTGATATGATTGTTTTTAACCTATTTATTTCTTATACTATTTTAATTCATATCAATTCACATATTAATTATAAAAGTTCATTTAATGTTTCAATAATGAAATTTTGTGGACGGGAAATTATATGTTTAGTTTTCAACTATAGTATATCTTTATACGATAAAAAAACTATAGTATATCTTTATATATTACGTATACAAAGATACTAAAGTGTCATTACTAAAGTGTCTAAATTCACCCCTATTCAGTTTCGCTCATCTCATCAAAATAACAAGTTGTTAGTTTCGCTCACCAAGTAATTTTTTCATTTTTAAAGTTAAAAAGTCATTGTTATATATTCTCATCAAATTAAACTCAAATATATGTCACTCAAATTTTGGATGTTTTTAATTGGACCAAAATTTTATGATCTAGTATCGAGTCTATTTAAATCTAATCTTATCTGATCTTGTAACAATCCGGTTTCTGTGTTTTTGTAATTGTCAAACTGTAGTCTGATCAGATATAGTCTGTTTTGATTTGGCCCGGGACCAATTCAAAAATAGTCCAAGTAAAAGCATCAATTATCTCTTGGTATCAGTGAATTAGTTTTTTAAAACTGTTGTTATTGTTAAATTTTTATTTTTAATTTGTATAATGTAGCTTTACATTTATTTATAATATGGGGCCTAAATTAACCTTTTAAACAAGGCTATTTAAAATCAATCATGCTTCGTGACACAGACATATACGAAGTATTTCTATCAGTGCGGAAATTAAAACAATTCTCTTCACAAAACTAAAAAAGAATTTTTTGTTCAAAATTAATTTAACCGGCATGTAAAGTGTTGTGTACAATTTGGCCTGCACAAACAAATTTTTCATTTAAAATTATTAGACAACCCCGTTAATTGGGAGAAATAGTATGATGTATCGCGTAGTATAACACTTTTGACTAAATGGAAACTTAATTGCACAAATAGGACTAAAATATAAATCATTCACAAATAGGACTAAGTGTTAATTTTCTACCCTAAATACCCCCAATCTAATTAATTAATTACCCCTAGTTCCTTTGGGCAATCGAGGCAGTTTGTTGATGGCGGGGCGGTCTCTTAGTGGTGGGGCAGTATGGCAGTGGCAGGGCAGTCCCACAACGGTGATTGGCGCCAGAGCTCCAGCGAATCTGTCGGCGTGTAACTGGCAGAAAACGAGATCTGGAAATTATGGGCTGATTCCGGCGGCGGCCGAGTGCAGGGCAGCTGTCGATTACTGGTGGTCGGCGGAGGTGGTCGGAGGCTGGCGACAGTGGTCGTAGGCTAATGATGGTGGTCGGTGGTCGGAGGTTGACAGTAACGGCTGGGCAGGGCAGTCCAAATGCTACATGGGTATATTTCTCCAAACACACATGAGTACTCCTATTTAGAAAATTTAAAACAAGATAGTCATATTCGTGATTTTAGGCATGTTTTAGTCCTATTTATGTAATTAACTCTTAGAGCAACTTCTGTTCAAGATAGCATGTTTTAGTCCTATTTAGGTAAAAACTCCAAGAGCAACTTATAAATTTAAATGTAAAAAGTTGTTCTAACTCTTTAATAGTAATACCCAAAGTTATCATTTCAATATGGTTATTATAAATAGATTATGTACTCTAATATTCAATATAGCCAATTTCAATTCTCTTCTAAACTACCAAGTCAGATACGATTCTGTTTTTGTGCGCTAACAACTAGTATCAGAGTAGAGTTCTGTGAACTCTGAAGATCAAGAACAGCAATGACGATGAACTATCTCATATCAAATCTCCCTATTCTTGATGGCAAGAACTGGAGCCAATGGTCCATTCAAATGAAAGTGATTTTTGGCTATCAATATGTCTTTGAGATAGTGGAAGGAGGATTTTTTATTGTGACTGAGAGATCCACGGAACCGAAGAAGAATGCGTTCAGTGAAAACAAGAAGAAAGACCATAGAGCTATGTTTTTTATTCATCACTGTGTTGGTAATGCACATTTTGAGAAAATTGCTAATGCTTCAAGTGCTCATGAAGCCTTGCTGGAGAAATGCAACGAAGGAGTTGAGCAATTAAAGAAGGGCAAGCTTCGAACTATGAGAAGGCACTATGAAATAATGCAGATGGAATGTGTTGAGAAGATAGAGGAATATGTGATTTGAATATGTGTGGAGAAAAGATGATTGAGCAGAACATTATTGAAAAGGTATTAATTAAGAACCCTACCTCACAGTTTTGACCACATTATCGTTGCTATAGAGGAATCCAAAGATCTTACAACAATGAAATTGGAAGAATTACAAGGTTCTTTGGAAGCAAATAAACAATGTCTTCTTCAAAGACAGGCAGACAAATCTACAAATCAAGCACTTACAACTCAAACTACCAAGAATCCATTCTATGGAAAAGGTTTCCGTGGTAGGAGCAGAGGCAGAGGTAGATCTAATAGAGGCGATACCAGAAAAACATACTTACACTCATGACCAACAAAGAAATGATCAAGAAGAAGTGGAAACATCTGCCAAGAGATGTGGTTTTCATCAGAATAGAGGTGGTAAGAAGAGGATTGACCGTGAGAAGATAAGATGTTTCAAATGAAATAAGATTGGACATATCTCAAATGAATGCAGAGCACCTAGTCAGAATGACCAGTTTGGAAATGAAAGGCAAAGAGATGAAGCAAATCTGGCACAAGATTTAAAAGAAACTGATGAAGAACTAGAAACTCTAACGATGACAACACATTTGAACAAAAATAATTTTAATACTTCGTATTTGGACTCAGGATGTTCAAATTATATGTTCAAATTATATGACTGCCCACAAGAACCGGCTAGTCAATTTTGATCACACCAAGAAAAGCAAGGTCAGATTTGAAGTTGATTGATTGATTGCTTCAGAAGAAACATGAGATGTTGTCATTAAGAGGAGTAATGATGTCGGTGCTTTTATTACATATGTACTAATATACTATTTGTTCCAGATATGAAGAGTAAGTTGTTAAGTCTTGGACACTTGCTCGAAACATGTTTTACCATTCATATGGAGAAAGGAATCCTGGATATTTATTTGACTCACTTGGAAAACTGATTTTTAAAGTTCCTGTTTGGAGTAATAGGACATTCCAAGTACAAATTTTTTGCAATGGAGTCTAAATTTTTAGTTTCTAAAAATAAATTTCAGATTATGGCACCTCAGATTCGGTCAATTAAATTTCAGAGATCTAATCAATTTGCAAAATAAAGGTATGGTCCATGGTTTTCCCTCAATGAAATCTCTTGACAAATTATATGAAAACTGCTTACTATGTGATTCTATTTCTATATGTCTATATCCTTCATACTCAAAGTGATCTATTTCTACATGTCTATATCCTTCATACTTATGTGTGAAGACTTGTTCTAAAGCCTATCAATGTGTTAGAGTATAGTTCATTGCTGTAACTTAACCTTTGAAGCAGAACAACTCATTTCAGCAGTCTACTCCTAAAGAGTTTGGCAGTCAGCTCCCAACATTCTGGCAGTCAGCTCCTTCAGGTTCGGCAGCCTGCTCATTGAGTCATCTGATTCTGGCAAACACATTTGAACCTTGTTTCATCCATCTCATCACAACTAAAAGGGTCATAACCTTTGTTTCTATAAAGTGTCACACTCTTGAGGTCAAAACTTTCGTTGTATGTTTCAATATCTCCCAAAAGATATCGGAACTCATTCTGCTAGGCACATAAGGGTTTGAAACTCAATGGGGGCGAATTTCAGCCCAAATTACTCCAGACCCTCCAGACCCCTCCCCAGACCCCCTTGGAGAAAAAAAGGACTTTTCCATCGCAAAGTACACTTTCTGACAGAAAAATCCGATGTCAACAACATCTTTTCGGGTATACCCCAAGTGTACTTCAGGGAGTAAATGAAATGAATAAAACTTTCATCAATTGTACTTCTACATAATCCGTATAATATTAAATTGGGAAAATTATCAATTTGATCTTCGTATTATCATGAAAAAATCAATTAGATCCTCATATTTGAAAAAAGAAATCAATCAAATCTCCTGGACTTTATAAAAATGCTCAAAGTCCATATGCAGATTACTTGCCATGTTAGCAGGTCACCCGCTAACGTGGCACACATGCAGCAACCGAATCAATGGTTACTTCGCTTACGTGGCGCATATGGGGAAGTCCAATCGGCCAATTGCTAATTAATTATGTGGCATACACGTGGACTGTCACCAGTGACACGTGTGCGCCTCGTCGGTGGGTGACATATAGATATGGCAAGTAAGCTGCTACTGGATTCAAATGAAAGTTGTTACAAAGTTCAGAGATTTGATTGATTTTTTAAAATTACGAGGACCTAATTGACTTTTTCCTGATACGACAAGGACCAAATTAAAAATATTTGCCTATTAATTTATACTCCATAGCAAACATGTGAGTGTCCTTATGGAGGAGTGCCAATAGACGTTAAAATTTGTCAAATTCATCGAAAATCGTAGGGCAAGTTTTTTTGTTTATCAAATAGAAATTGTGGTATTAGCCCTAAATAGGACTAAATAGTTGATGAAATTGCAAAATAGGAGTATGTCTATTTATATTCCCTAATTAGGACTTATTCCAAATCTACCCTCCCTTTAATCTCAACATTTCAAAACGTGCGCGTCTTCTTTACGCTATATTATACTGCACTCCCATTCTCCTTCATCTTTTGCAAAAGGAGCTTCTATATGAGACAACAGCAGCAAGATTCGAGGTGAGGCAGCGACTGCGAGATTCGAGGTGAGACAGAGGCAGTGAGCTGCGAGCTAAGGCGGCAAGCAGAGGGGGACCAACAGTGAGCGACGTCGAGCAGCGATGAGAAACGGTGGAGCATCCGTGAGCACCCAAATCCGGTTCGAAGTAGCTTGTTGGTCGTTGTATCTCCCCTCTTCTTCTGTCATCTTCTTCGTCTTGCTTAATCTCTCTTGGTCTCCTAGTTTTTTCCTCTTCTTCGATTTCATTGCAGATCTAATATTCCGTTTCTTTGATTTTAAAAAAAGGTAAAATTTTGTTTTAAAAATGCCATCAAGTTGGCAATATTACTCTTCAAAAATGTCATGTTTTGCTTTGAAAATTTCACTGAAATGGCATTCTCGATTTTTGTTTGGCATTTTGAGAAAAAAAAATTGGCATTAGCGTAGACAATGGACATATCTGCACCGGTGGGGGCCAGTTTTGCAGTGGTGGAGGCCGGATCTGCAGGGGCGGCAGCTGGATCTGCTCAGGAGGCCTCCGGATCAGTTGGGACAGCGGTCAACAGCAGCGTTCGGTGGCGGCAGACATGTCTGCAGCTGCGACGGCCAAATATGAAGTGGCGGCGAGCAAATCTACATCAGTGGTCAGTTTTGAGGCGGCGCTGGCGGCTGGCAAGCGGCGGCGATGGATGACCGGCGGTGGTCTGGCGTTCTGCACCAACAATATGTTTTCCCAAGTTCAGAGTTATTTCTGTTCAATTACAAAATAATAACTCCTATTTAGAGAATTTTTTAACATTAATCTTATTTTGGCAACTTATTTACTCTTATCAAGGTAAATTCCCCATAGAAATTATATAATATCCGTACATTAGTATCATGTCTTAAGCCTGAATATGAGACTCCACTCTATAAAACAAAATATTTGAATGACAACTCAACCACATATAATTTGACTTTATCAACAAAAGATTTTTTCCTATTTAATTTGGAGTTATTTTGTTGACAATTGTCACGATAGTCGATCAACTGGACAATTCATATACATACATCTTGATTAAGACGTTTTATTTCACAATTGTTGCAATATATCGTAAATAATCACTTCGGATTCACACGGAGCTGAGGCACTTGAAGTAATTTCTCATTTTATCGTGGTGGCAATTAAGGATTTACTCCCTATTTGTTGTCCTTGAAGAAATTGAGACGCCACAATACAAATTAAACTATCATTCATCAAACTAGTGGGTAATAAATACTCCGTATTTGACAAAAAGGATTAGAAATGAACAAAACATGAAAAAAATTAAAAATTTTGAAATCACTTTTGCATGTCTCTGATAAGAGTGGAAGTGGAAATAAATGTCAAAACAACGTTTTTATCTAATAAAAAAACACAACGCAGTAAATGTAATTTTGAAATCAAGTAGGGTATTTATGTATTTGTACATCTCTTTTTCAAGAGTCCACCACCAAAAACTTAGCTATAAGTATTTTGAACTTTCCTTTAATTACATATATTATAATTTTGGAGTAATAAATTCCTTTCACCCATTTAGAGCCCTTTCGCCGGTAACACTGAAATTGACTGAATCGGCTGATTCTGCTGAAATATCATTAAGTTCTGGTTGAAGTGGCTAGATTGGCTGATTATGTTGATTTACGAAAAAAAATTATACCTAAAATATTTTTTATTAATAAAATAAAGAAAAAGTTATATGAGAAATAGCTAAAATGATCCTCTACACCTACAATAACTTCATCCAATACAGCCAGAAAAGTAATTACAATCTTATTTTTTCTATTATTACAAAATAAAGTCACCAAACGGGCACTTAGTTGAATTATATTGTATTTTGTAACACATAAACAATTTTTGTATTTTTCTTGTAAGCCCATATGGGCCCAACCGTGTTGGTGATATGTGGGCCAGCCTGGCCCAGTCCCTTAAGCCAAACTATATAGACGGGTTAGACCTACAATTTTCTTACAAAAGCCTGTATTGGCCCAACCCATGAATTTTTATATATACATATGAGTTCAGCTTGACCCAACCCGAACTCAATATTTTTGGGTCGATATTGCCCAGCTTAGCCCGTTGATGATCTCTAGGCTGAATTCATCCAATTTGAGTATGAGCAATTTAAAGTACATGTTGTGCATATATAATATTAAGAAGGCGAGCATTTCAGTTTCAGTTCACTTTTATCGTTTTTCATTTTGTTCTGGTATGGAATAGATTGGTAGAATGATTACAAAAAAAAATTGTACTATGTTTCAGTTTGGTTCAGACTTCAGATCAATTTAGTTTGATTCGATTAGATTTGGATTTAATATTTTTTTATTAATATGTTAAGGGAAATTTATAGTTCGATATAGTTTCATTTGTTTTTTCATGATTTCAATTGGGTTCATTACATATGGTATGAAAAAATATATTATAAAATTCAAATCAAATTGCATATGATTTGATTTCGATATATATATATATATATACATATATATATATATTATTTTTTTGAAAGTGATGTGGTACTATATATATTCGAGTTAAACAGAACCAATAATACAATGCTAACCCTATAAGAAAACATGGTATGTTATTATTCTATGTACGTAACAATGAGACTCTCCTCTAACTCTAATAAATCTGGTAGTTGGTTGTTAATATAGTGCGTCAGCGGTCGACGATCCAATGCATTTAAATCTTTACTGTAGATGTCTTGCTCTCTGCCATGCCACCGGCCGGCGGCTGCTTTGTCAACAATCCGGCCTCGGTATATATATACTCCCTCCGTTTCCCAAACAAAGACACATTTTCCTTTTTTTGGATGTTTCAAAAACAAAGTCACATTTCCCTTATTTCCTTATTTGGCAATGAAATATATTTCAAAACAGTGTCAAAAAGTGTCAAACAGTGTCTAAACAGCGTCAAACAGTGTCTAAACAAAATTTTCTACAATAAAATCAATTTATTTCCTTAATGCTAGAGAAGTCAAACCGTGACTTTCTTTGACAAACGGAGGAATATATAGTAACTCCCCGTTTTATATTAGGAGGGGGGCTAAATGAGTTAATAATTAATGCTTGGACCTACCTATAATTGGATTTATCAGTCATGTGACGGTGACGCCATTTCCATACTTGTAGATCACTATTTGTTGTAAAAATTCTCATCTCACAATATAAATATATACTTCGTATTAGGCTATAAGCTCTTTAATTATCATTGGGCCATTGGGGTATGTAGTATGTACTATGTGTTGCATTTTTATAGGCTTCCTCATATCTCTTAATTGTGATGTTATTTAATAAGTCATAAAAAGTTTTTAATTCTATGTCTAATATTCTTAAG